CTTTCTTTCTTTCTTTCTTTCTTTCTTTCTTTCTTTCTTTCTTTCTTATTTTTTAAATTGTTTTAGTTTATTTATTTTGAGAAAGAGAGCACAAGCAGGGAAGGGGCAGAGAGGAGAGACAGAATCCCAAGCAGGCTCTGTGCCATCAATGCAGAGCCCGATGTGGGGCTCGAACTCACAAGCTGTGAGATCATGACGCGAGCTGAGATCCAGAGTTGGTCACACAGACGCTTAACCAACTGCGTCATCTAGGCGCTCCTAAGCTTACCCACAAAATCTAATTTCATTCAGTACATACTTATTGAGCACCTACTCTGTGCCAAACAGTCCCTGCCTTCAAAGAGAGAGTGTGCCAGAAGATGGATTTTTCAAGGAATGAGGGCAAATCACACTGCAACAGGGAGGGGGCAATTCACAGACAGCAGACTATAATGACAGAAGCCTCAAGGGAGCCAGAGGTTTTAGGGAGTTTGGAGGAACAGTTGTGTAGATGGACCAATAGAGAGAGGAAGACCCTGTAGACCTTCAGGTGTCATGGAGAGTGGATTGCGGGAGAGGAGAACAGTCCCCACTTGAAATGCATCTGGGGTGCACTGTCCTTAGGGGCAGCTGGGTTTGTGGTTAGCATAAGAAGTTGAAGGGGAGGGGCGCCTGAGTGGCTCAGTTGGTTGAGTGCCTGACTTCGGCCCAGGTCATGATCTCACGGTTCACGAGTTTGAGCCCCGTGTTGGGCTCTGGGCTGACAGCTCAGAGCCTGGAACCTGCTTCAGATTCTGTCTCCCTTGCTCTCTGCCCCTCCCCCACTCATGCTCTCTCACTCTCTCTCAAAAATGAACATTTTTTCTAATTAAAAAAAAAAAAAGTAGAAGGGAATACTCAGAGAATATAGGGAGTTTTGCCTGCGTTTTAGATTGAAAGGACCTGGCCAGGGGCGCCTGGGTGGCGCAGTCGGTTAAGCGTCCGACTTCAGCCAGGTCACCATCTCGCGGTCCATGAGTTCGAGCCCCGCGTCAGGCTCTGGGCTGATGGCTCGGAGCCTGGAGCCTGTTTCCGATTCTGTGTCTCCCTCTCTCTCTGCCCCTCCCCCGTTCATGCTCTGTCTCTCTCTGTCCCAAAAATAAAAATAAACGTTGAAAAAAAAAAAAAAAAGGATCTGGCCAGTTGTACAAAGTTGACTGAATGAGAATAAGGACAGGACAGAGCCCTGCATCCTTAGCACCAGTAAACCGTGCTTGTTAACATCGCTGTGAGGCTTGGCGCTGACCAACCCAGCAGAGCAGTCAGGTGGGTACAAACTGTGAAGACGCTGTCCACGTTCACTGAGTCAATCAGTTAGCCCTTTTTCATCAGAGACTTAGCCATCAGAGCCTCCTGGTGGGAGTACTGGGGACAGGAAAGAGCCTCAGCCTGGGTGCAGTCTTCCCCCAGGAAAGCCCCAGAAGGCAGCATCTTCCCTATAATTTCCACATTAACAGAAAGGTGAGCCTCTTGGTCTCGGGCCCCCTGGCTCCTCTGATCTGAGAGGCAGGATTTCATCAGCTGCCCCCAGGCCTGGAGACTGGATTGCATCAGGCCAGAGGATGACTAAGCCACCCCACGCGGTTCTCTTTCCAGCAGGGCCCACCCGCCAGGCCTGGGCCAGACCTAAGTGACTCACATTGCCTATCCTCAGGGTGCATAGGACCTAGGTGCCCTGGACATACGGTCAGACAAGGAGGTACTGAAGTCTGTGGGGAACAAGGTTGGAAGGCCTACATCTAAGACTCGGAAGAGGAGAAGAGGCATAGTTCTCCCAGTGTGGGGAAGGAGGGAGGATGAACCATGGCCCTTCGGGAGCATGGGAGGGTGGCGGTCAGAAGAGGGCACTGAGCTCAACTCATCACATCTCCATGTCTTTCCTTCCAGTCCTGGACGCACAATATCCAGCGAGAGAAAGAGTTTCTGCGGAAGCTGGTGAAAGCACGTGTCATCACCGACCTAACCAGCGGCATCTGAGGCGGGCCCAGCACATGGCCACGGAGGTCCTGGCACCGCCAAGAGCAAGCAGCAGCCACCACCACCTGCCCACTTCATTGGCCTTGGTCTGGCTCTGCCTGAAAGGCACAGGAGTCTTTAGACCCCGAGAAGGACAGTGCCAAGTGGCCCCAGGGGTGGCGAGGCCTTGGCAGGGCAGCCAGAGCTGTGTCTGCCCAGAGGCCAGCCTCAGAGACCAGCACTTGGCCTCATTCTCAGCCTGGGTCCTTGAAGCTAGAGGGCCAGGAGGCCACCAGCCGTGCCCAGCAGGCCCAGCATGCGGGAGGTGGACGTCAGGCAGCAGGGCTGCTGCTGGAATCATTTCTCCAATCAGTGTTTGGTGTATTATCATTTTGTGAATTGGGGTTGGGGGGAGGGTAGGGATAATTTATTTTTAAATAAGGTTGGAGATGTCAACTTTGGTCCACTTGCCATACAGAAAGAGGCCCACTAGGGGGCCTATCGGGTCTAGGTACCAGTGGGCTCCCTGTAGAGTAGGGGTGCCATGACTAGCCTGGACCCTGCTCGGGACTACAGGGGAGGTGGGCAAGGTCTCATGCCAGCCCTCTCCAGCTCATGACACGGTTTGGCCTTTCTTGAGGAGAAGATGGGGTATTCCCATTCACCAGCCCCTAACTACCCCACAGGGAAACCCTGGAGCCATCATTTAAGCCAACAAGACAGCCCCTGGGTTAAGCAGAAAGAACTACAGAGCCTGGGAGATGGGGCCTGGCCCAACCTGATGGGAATAGCGCCCCCCCTCCCCAGCTGCAGCTGATCCATAGGACAGCGCCCCAGCCTGGACTGACCAACCTGGCAGCTGTTCTGGACTTCAGCAATGAGACTGTCAGGTCCTTGGGTTCTGCCTTTAGCTTGGACCAGAGGGAAGTGAGGCTCAAGGACCTTACCCAGGCTGTGGCAGCCATCCTGGAAGCAATAAAGCTCTTCCCCGAATCTGGCCTCCTCTTGCTTTCTCTGACTTTCCTGGAAGAGGCAGGAACCTGGGGCCTCAGCAATTATGTTAAACTCAAGGGCCATCTCTCTAGCCCACGCAGATTCCTGGGTCTCTTTCCCTTCTCGTGTCAACTGCTGGACACGGGTAGCTACCTAGGGGCCTCCTGAAGCCTTTCCCATCCTACAAAGTCCTACACCCTGTTTGCTTTAAGAGAAGCAGACCAAAGGTATAAGGGCATGCCCCAGAGTCTACCCTAGTCCTCCTAAAGGAGCCACTGAAGTCCACAGCCTTACGATAGCACCTCTGAGTCCCCAGAACCCCAGTTCTGCAAGCAGGGACAGAGATTCCTACAAGTACAGGAAAGATCTATACTGAGCCTCTGACACAGGCTCAAAGACCTTACCTGCTCCTGGCACCCCAGGCTGAGCCCTGGGGAGAGTATGTCCCACCCCAACCCAGAGCACAAAGGGTCCCCTCTCCCCACACAGAACAGGAAGACACAGCCCCCTCTGGGCACCCTCAGGTGAATATTAGAAAGGCTATCCCCACCCCCACCCCCTTAGAGCGCTAGAGTCTGATCCCTCCCTTTCCAGCATCCCCAGGCAGGCCTGAGAATGGGACAAACATACACCTGCATCTGAAGCCATGGAGTGAGCTTCCTGCCAGGGCTGCCACTATGACAGGCTGGCTGGCCCCCTCATCTCTCACCTGCCATCCCAATCCAAGAGTCCTTGCCATCCCAAGGACCACCACCTTCCCGCCTGCCCCCTTACTGCCGTGCTTTGTCCTCAGGCAGAAGCCTCCTCAGCTGAGGGGAAAGCAAGACCCTGAGAGGCACACCCAGAACTCCCTTGGGATTTTGCTGGCAACTGGGCACAACTCCAAAGCACATCATGTTCGACGGGAATGGCACCCCCTGGAGTTGTACAGGGCATAGGCTGCATGCCTACAAGAGGCAGCCACGGCTGATAAAGCTCCAGGTTGCAAGAGGCAGCAAAGAGGATCTACTCACTGCGTGGCCCCTGGCCTACCAGGGTCCTGTCAAGCCTGCGGACAGCCACCACCAGTTTTCTGTGGTCTGGCTTCTGCACAGAAACTGCTCTCACAAAAGCTGTGGTTCTCAGCCCCGGCCATATGCCAAAATAACCTGCACCGATTGGGAAAACGGCACATGCCCACCCCAAGATTCTGATTCAGGTCTGGGGTGGAGCCCAGATGTGGGTGGTTTTAAAAGGTCCACAGGTGGTTCTGATGCATAGTCAAGGTACAGCTGGTCCACACACGTCCCCTGAGCACTTTCATCCCCACCCATGGCTTCCAATTGTCAGTTGGTCAACAATTTCCAAATTGCCATCTCCGCCCCAGCTCTCTCCACGTTGCTGCAGGCTACAGATTCAGCTACTTCCTGAACGTCGCCGCTAGGGTAATTCACAGGTCCTTCCAACTCCACACGTCGGACACTGAACTCGTGAGCTCCTGTCCTCCACATGGCCCCCCTCCGGGAAGCCCCAGCTGCCAGCATGCGTCGCCTCCACCTCATCACCCAGGCCAAAGGCATACCTTTGTCCTACCTCTTCACCCCATCCAATCAGGGATCAATTGAGTTTTCAAGAAGGTGTGCTCGCGAAAGAGGCTTGCAGCCCTCCGCTAGCCCCACACTCTGCCTCAGGCTCCTCTCTCCCCAGCAGCCTCCTCACACATCCCCAGACCATCCACCCCACTGCGGCCAGTCTCTGAAATGCTTGTCTGGTCACACCATTCTCCTGCCTGAAACCCTTCAGTGGTCCCCAGTACCACCTGGATAAAGGCCAGACTCTAGTATGACACACAGGATCTGGCCTTTCCTTACCTCTATCCATGTTACTCACTCAACCTCCACCCCACCTGCCAAATTGCCGTAATTAGGCACCTGAAATACTACCCTCCAGCTGCTACCTCAAAGCCTCCGCGCATGTTTCTCCTCTGTGACCCTCCCTTCTCCAGCACGGGCACCCGCGCCTACCAGCACTGCCCCTGTGGCGCCCGGGGTGAGCAGCGGTGTTCTCGGATCTGTCTCCACTCCAAGCCCCGGGCAGTGGGGGCCCTGCGGCAGGGCGGCTGGAGCAGGGTCAGGCCCCCAGGGCCCCAGCGCAGCGCCTCACCAACATGACGAGTTCCATGGGTCCGCTGGGAGAAGTTAGCGGTGGGCCAGACAGCAAGGAGCAGCCACTGCGGGCCGGCCAGCCGGGACCCCAGAGACCGCACCGACTGCAGGGCCCTCGGCTGAGGCAGGGACCAGCCAGTCCCCTCCCTCCCCGCCCTCAGCCCAGCCTCCCGACTCCCTACTTCGCGTGTCTACAAACTCTGAACGCCCAGTTCCCGCGCCTCTCCGCCGCCTGGGTTCTTAGCTCTGAGTCCCAGGGTCCCCTCCCAGCGTCTCCTCCCCCCAAGCTCTGGGGACCTAGGGCAGCTAGAGGGGGGGGGGCGGGGGGACTCGATCCCAGCAGGTGGAGTGGCCAGGTGAGCCCTGAAAGGTGGAGTTGGGCGGGGGCGCTCTGGGCCCCACCCCAGGATCCGGTGACGCCGGGGCTGGAATTTGACACCGGATGGCGGCGGGCATGAGGCTGCTGAGGGATGGAGTTGGGCCCGGCCCCCAGACACGGCTCAGGGGCTCGGCCAGCAGCAGGTCCCTCAGGCCCCAGCCTTCACTGCGTCCCGGACCCAGAGCCCTGCACCTCGGTAAGCTGACCTCTTGGCCCACCCCTGTCCCAGCCCTGGGGCTAGGGGGAGCGGGCAGGATGGTTCCCCTCCACTCCTTTCTCACATTCTCTCTCCCGCCCCTGGGCCGGAGGCACAGCCCTCAGCCCCTCCCAGCCCCCTCGGTCCCCCTGTTGCTGGTCGGACTGCGCTAGCCCGCTGTAATGTGAGGCTCCTGCTGCCGCTACAGGGCACAGACTGGCTGCCAAGGCCACGCTTTTGGCTAAAAGAGGCGCTGCCAGGTGCACAGCCTTGGGCATGAGCCTTTTAAGCTGCGGGGAAAAGCCCAGCACTGGTCCCAGGAAAGGTGCCTAGAAGAACACGGAGCAGGACCCCTGTGGTAAGTATCTGGCTGGCAGAAGCGGGGCAAGGACTGGAGGACCACCAAATGGCCCCAGGCTGCAGAAGGGAGACTGGACCTGCCCTGCCCTGCCCTCAAGAGACCTGCTCCTGAGCTCCCCCTAGTGCAGGGGGCCACTAAGGCTGCCTGGCCCGGGTTTCCCTCCATCATTGAAAACAGTTACTAGCTTGGCCCATCAAGGCTCGATTCAGTTAGCAGAGCACACCTAGCGCTGGAGGACCACACCAGTGAGGCCTGGGGAGATCTGGCCCACAGGTATGCAGACGTTCTGTGGGCTATGGGGTGGGGGTGAAAGTGACAGCTGGGACCCAAGGGTAGACCAGCTAGTGAGGACTCCAGGGCCCCAGAGGGGTGTATGGGAATGCCAGCCAATGTGGGTTCACCAAAGGTTGGTGGGGCTCAGAAAGGCTGGATGGGCTCAGGAAGGATGGTTCATGGGGGGAAACTTATAAAAGCAGGGCCAGGTTTCCAGACCTACAGGAAGCTGGAAGGGGGACAAACCTGGACCAGCTCTCAGAGACGAGGTTGAAGTGGAGGCCTGGCTGGTCCTCCTGGGAATAGCTCAGGCCTGAGTATTTGAGCAAAGGGAAAAGCCCACCCACCCTTTGAGTCAACAGGTTTGGCAATGCTGCCCCCTGGTGGCCATAGGGAGCCATGCCCAGGCCCTATGTTAGAGGACCCATCAGCCACCATCATGGACTAGCTCTTGAGGGACATCTGTGGCAAGAAGACAGAACTCTGGCAGCTCGGGGTGCAGACTGAAATCTTAGAGGAGCAAGGTGCTGCAGTGCTGGGTGGGCAACACAGGCTGAAGCCTGGGTCTCGCTAACATCAGCTAGGTCAATAGCAAGCACCCTAATTCTTCTCTAGGCCATAGTTTCCTGC